AATTTTTATATTTTTCTATATGTATTTATGATAAAAAAAATACTCTTATCCTATATTTTAGGAATATAAGTTGAAAAAAAAAATCCTTTCTTAACTTTAATTATCTACCCTATCAAAAAAAGGTTTTTTATTTTAATTTCTTCTTTTAAAAAATAAATAGATAAAATAAAATTTACCTCTAAATTTTTAATTCAAAGATTAAACCTAAATAACATCTATTATTTTTTGGACGAATAGAATAGTTTTTTTTTTTTTTTATCACATAACAATATTACCCCCATAACCATTTTAGCTGGCATTGAATTCATTCAAGCAAAATATCAGGAGAAAGAATGTAAGCAATCCTGATAATTGTTGATGTGAAAGGAGGGCAGGGTTTGCTTGTTCTACATTCAAATTCATTTCCAATCTCGCAATAACTAATCATCTACCAAATGAATGGTAGACATCGTAAGCCAGCACCTGGAAGCCACTTGTCGCTGCGTTATCCATAGAGCATACCCAGATCCTGAGATCAAACAGTGCTGAGCTACATTTGTATAATGTAGTTGAAAAAAAAAAAAAGAAAAAAAAAGAAGAGAAAAACTCTCATCAGTAAAAAAAAAAAAAAAAAAAAAAAAAAAAAAAAATTTTGAACCTGGGAAACTTAGGGGTAGGGGATTGAGGGTGGAGAATGAGTATTTGAATTTGAATTCAGAACTTTAACGTCCTAAATATCACTTCTTTCACGGGATGGTTATTAGGCCAATTAGTAATGGACAAACTCTCATTAGAAAATTAGTTAAAAGAAGGAAATATTAGTTGTGTTATGAGAAAATTTCATATTGGAAAATGATAAATGAATTAAATATAAAAATATTATTCTATTTATTATCAATTTATTTTATATTAGATTCAAGGCTTGTATTAAGGTAAATATGTTTAATTTTTACAAATTAAAATAAAAAAAATAAAATCAACTCTTCTTGCTGCCACTAAGGTTTTCGCTAGACAGACGAGCACCTCACCTAGGCACTACTCCTTGTTTGAAGGGCTTCTCCCCCTGTTTCTTTCTTTTCCCTCCATGGCTCAACCGTGTATGTTAGCTTGGAATTATTGCAATCTTGGAGAAGCTTACATGATCTTTGAGCCAAACCAATTACATCTCCAACAAAAGCCTAATTTTGTCCTACTTCTTGAAGCAAAGTGAACGACAATGGAGATGAATTTGGTCCGAATAGATTTAGGGTTGACTCCTTGTTCTGCAAGTGATTGTGTAGAGATAGGGGGTGGCTTGACACCGTTCTGGAATGATGTGTTTAACTTGCAAGTTTCCTCTTTGTCGCCATCTCACATAGGTGTTGAAATAGTAGATCCAGATGGTTGTCAATGGCAATTAATAGGATTTTCTAGCCAACCAGCAACTGCTTGCAGGGAGGAGTCACGGACTCTTCTCAAATCACCCAATATGGTTTCTCCTCTACCCTGGCTGTGTTTAGGCGACTTCAATGACATCTTGAGCCAATCAAAAAAGGAGAAGGGCAATCTCGGATTCCACTCAGGCTATGCATGGAGGGCCATAGGTGGCCGTTGGTGTGGAGGGTCAAATTTACATGCTGTTGGTGAAGCTGATGGTGATCTGCAAGGGAAGAATGGTATTCAAGATGGCAAAGGGGCTCTAGTTCCCTTAATAACTTTCTATAGCAAAGGCTTGAAGAGGACTAGAAAAGATGGGAACATGGTTGGAAGCACATGGAGATGAATGGGATACCTTGTGATTGCACTGAGGAGGAGCATGCCCTTCTTCTTGTTGATTATTTTTTAAGAATAGATTGGGTGGCAACCTACAGGTTGGGGACTGTTTGTTGTTGAAATCCTTTGCTTTCCCCATAAAGCTGGTTAATTAAGTGAGAACGTCTAATAGCTTCTGATGCTTATAGTGACCCTTCTTTCTACATTAGTAATCCTATTTAGCTCATACAACGATTGCGATTGCAATCTTTAATTACTGATAACTCTTTTTACTTAATTATTTATATTCGTCACGTAGACAATTTAACTCTATTACTAATGCTATAGGTTATGTTTTTAATTTTGTTTTTAGGCTATCATG